CATCAAGCCCGGACCGTGAGTTATCCCAGCATGGTCCAGCAAGGCACGAGGTGTGAATCTCTTGGGATCCATAAACAAAGTCTGAACGATCTGCAGTCTTCCCAGTTCAAGCTTGAAGTCAGCGCGCAAATGAAGCGTGGCGCCGTTGGGGCGCAGTGGAGCCTGGAAATGCAAGAGTCATCTGCTTTGATTGGCGCCATCCTGAGTATCATACATCCACAACTTTATGAGCAGGGAATGGAGGCACTCCGCCGCCTCGAGACAGAAAATGGGTTTGTGGATGATGAGGAAGAATTGTACACGGCGCTGAAGCATTGGACTCCCCCTTTCAGCGCCTTGTCAGTGATTAGCAACCGGTCAACACCAGTACACCGTGACACCAAAGGGCGGAATGAGTGGATTGATGTCCTAGTGCCTTTGGGAGAGAAAGACTCGACTGGAATCATGGATTTCCCGGGTTTAGGCATATCCATCAAGTACAACCCATCGACAATAGTTGGGGTTGCTGGCAAAGTGATCTCACATGGGGCAGTGTTTGAAGGGGGAGAAAGGGGGTGCATTTCATACTACATGCGCAATAAAGTTCATGAGAGGTTAGGAGTTCCAGCGGGCACATGGATGAACACCAGTATATATGATTGCTAGCTGCCATTCGGTGAGCGCCATTACACAGTAACTTTGCCGTTGTGGCTAGTGCGCCTGCGCCGCCTGGTAAGTTTTCAGAGCTAGCGCCTGTTGGTCACAATGGCGCTGGCGCCTCTTCGTCAAAATGGTGCTGGCGCCTCTTCGTCAACATGGCGCTGGCGCCTCTTCGTCAACATGGTGCTGGCGCCTCTTAGTCACAAGGTCCGCATGCGTGGACCCTCGAAAGTCAACGGTCCTTGCTCCGCACCCAGAAGAGATATATACATGTCCTATCGCTCAAGTAAAAATTGCCTCTCAAGAGTCACCCTCATCAAGATCCATCGGCCCAGATCCATCTTCATCTCCCTCACTACCACCTGGCTGCGCCTCTCTGAAGGCAGGCCAACCATAATCACTTGCGGAGTCACCAGTGCTGGAGTGTCCTGATGCTGGCCAACTCAAGCCTGTGGAGGACACAGGAGAAGGTTGGTATTCTGGTTGCTCTTCGTCTTCAGGTTGCTGTTCAAAGTAAGGGGCGACGGCGCCCGTGCGGAGCGCCCCAGCATCCTGCCAAGGGCCTGCGGGTACAGGACCGACGGGCTGCAAGCGAATCTCCCGTTGATGTAGCCGGTCCATCAAAATCTCAATGGCCTCTATGTCGTTTCGGAGCTGGTCTTGTTCCATGCGACCACGAAAAAAGAGGTGTTGGACCCACATCTGTGCGCCATGAACCTTTGCTGCTGCTGTGGCCGCATGCACTGGCAGAACTGGAATGCCAGCCTCATCGTCCTCGACTTCCATGTTGGGTTCACAGTATGGCTAAACAGTAGAAGGTATCAATAAAATCGATGGACAACAGATCAAGTGTGTAAATACCTGTCCCATGGCTTCGATCCACTACAAAAAGCTAT